TCGGCTGTTCAACCACGGATTTAAAATAAAAATAAAATAATTGTGTTTTAGAATTATGAAATAACAAAAATTGGGATAAATATATGCTCAAATTTACTATCATATCGTAGTTTACTTATGCTATAAACACTTTTAAAAACACTTCATAATTAAACAGCATGTAAATTTGGTTTAAAGTGACGACTACGGGGCTTCTGACAGTTCTGAGCCTAGGGTCACTGCATTTCTAGAACAGGCCCAGCCCTTAGGGGCTTATGTAATATTTGAGCTGCCCCTTGATCACAATTACGAATTTTTTGAAACTATTTAATCAAATTATGTAAAATATATTCTCAACACCATCAATTACTTATCATCTATGGAACAATTTTAAAATATTTACTTAAATTTAAAGTCAATTAAGTAAAATTTCATTATAAATATAGGCTAAATGTTTAAAGAAGTGCTTTAAGGAGAAAAGCGATTTGTGAGGTTGATCCTCAGATTTTAACTCTTTTATTTTAGTGGGACTTTTAATAAATAAGATTTTGTGTTGTAAGAGATGAAATTAAAATTTTTTTTTAATTCACCAATGCCGAATATGGCAAGACAACTTCAAATGCGGGTCACAATGTAAACTTTTTGCAGTATTTTTTTGCGATTAATTGCATACCTAATTCCTAATACATTAAAGATTCATTTCATGTGGATTAACCAACTAATTATACGGTTTATTAAATATCAAAAGAATATATACACGATATTTAAAAATTTCTTTCTTACAGATAAGACATGTAAATTCTGCTTCTTCTTAAAGAATTTTAAAAAAAAATTTCATTTTGATTTTTAACTGTTTTTAACTTAAAAACTAGTTATACTATCAAATAATGGCAATTTTTCTTTGAATTAGTTTATAAGATTGACTTCGAAACATTAACGCTCAAATTTACTTTTAACTAACTAAGCAGCAATCACAGCTTCCAATAAAAAATTAAAATATGGTAGCCAATTTACTTTAAACTAACAAACATTTTTTTAAAAATTTAATTGAACGATAGCAAAATATTTAATTTTCAGACATCATTTTATTTTAAAAATATCACCATAACAAGTTTTAGAACTAGATATAATTGCTTTTATTGTTAATAATTCCGTAAAAATTATTATAACTCGTTTATTCCAAAAATAGGCGACAAATATCATAATTCGTCTACGTCTATCACTATTTTATTTTTTAGAAGACGCTGCAACCGCTTATTGAAGGCCTTTTGAAGTGATTAGCCGCAATTTTTTTCTAACGGTGATATTTTTACAAAAAACAGATCCTCAGTATTGTTTCAAAGTTGGTTTCTAAAATATACACTAGATGTCAGAACCATAGACAAAAACATCGTATTATAGAAATCGTAGTATTCTCTTCGAAAACAATAACTAAACACATTCTCTTAAGCTATTTGAAAATGTGGTTTATCATAATAATGCTTCAAACTTTTCAAGTGTTTAAATCAATTGATTTTTCAGATTAGTTGAATTCAAGACAAACGAATGCATATCAGAAACATCTGCCAAATGAGCATGAATTATCTTATTCTATTTACTTATTCCACGAATTGAAAGCTTTTAATTCACTAATGGGGCTTTTTAAAGAGCGAAAATAATTCAACGAGCGGTGTTCAAATTAAACGAGATAATTCATCTGAGTATGGGAGCGGCCCAATTATTTTGTTCCTGTTTGGCAGCTTGTACAAAATTAAAATCATGCTTTGCCACATGTTTTAGTGCTATGAACACTGAATATAAATCTATTCGAAGAAGTTATAGAAACATATTTATCATTGTGATATTTTGCAAAGTATCTTCCAATTTCGCTGAAATAAGAATTTAAAAAAAGCATTTTATCAAAAAAGTTCTTACAGTTTTGTTCTAAAATTGTAAGAATCAAGTATCATATGGTGATTCTGATTATGCTTACATGAAACCGAAATTATAGTGAATGTCAACATCCAGCGGTGAACACTTACTCGCTTTAGTGAATGTAATATTTAATGAATTTCATTATATCTCTCTTATACCAACAAATGTCGATATTCAAAATGCACTCACTGATGGTGAATGTTGAATAAGATATTTTTTTTAAATATTATATCTCAATTACCCATGCAAATGTCGATATTCAGCATACACTGATGGAAGGATTGTAAGAAAGGAAAAAATAACGTAAACGAATTTTTTTTTCTTCCCATTTTTTTTTCTTTCCATGTTGACATTCAATCACTGAATTTCAGACATTCACCAAGGCGATTTGTAATTCTTGATATTCGCCGAACAAAGTTGACATCTGCTGAATTTCGTACTTTCCAATGTAAAAATTTTAATGAGAGGTTAATTATTCAACACGAGTAGATTGTATAGTTATTAATAGAGGAAGTGTCTGACGACAATGTTATAAACAGATTAAATAAAACTCGGATAAGTTTTCTTACTCTTAAAAATTTTTAAAGGAATAAAAACATTTCACTCAAAGCTAAGCTAAGAATATTCAATACAGATATAAAATCTGTCCTCCTTTATGGAGCAGGAGCCTGACATGGAAAAAGAAATTCAAAAAACTCTAAATTTTTATTTGAAAAAAAAAATTTGCAAAAAAAATGCTTTCGAAAGATTTTAAGCTTGAAGTGGCTCCATAGGGCTAAAAATTAAGGCGTTCTTAAGAGCTAAACAAATAACAAAACAAGAAAGTATAAAAAGAAATTGGAATTAGTTGAGAAAACCATAAAAATATAAAATAAAACAGAAACGAAAAAAAAGAGGAAAACAAAAAACAACTTAGTGCAAGATAATTGGATACTTGCAACTCGGGAAGAAGACGATCACTGATCCATAGACACGTGATCTATGACCTCAGTCCCAGATCGCTTATAAACAAGATGACGTGTTAAAGTCGAGCTAAGTTTCTCCACATACGTTGGAATGTTAATTGACGTGAATTTAATTAAATACAACGTCGTATCTCATCGAATTTGTTAAAGTATAATTTTTTACCGTCTACATCTTTTACTTAACTTAGATTTATTATTATTTTTATGTCATTAATTGAAACCGTATATATTTTCGTTTTGCGTACCTGGCAACTTCGATGCATAGTTAGTTTATGTTCTACATGGTTTCGTGCCTGTCTTTGTGTTAAGCAAGAAATATGCAGTAAATGAATTAAAATCTTTGTGAGAGAATATAGAATGTGCCGCGTAAAAGAATTGATACTTGACAGGCTTAGCTTACTCGAATTAGAATGGAAATAACAGTTGCCAACGTAAACAAATGGCATATTTCAACAACCAATCAGGATCGAGATACCCACACCCTCACTGGCAGGTATCACATAATTAATAAATTGAAAATTGTTAGAAACGAGGTGAAACTGTTGGCTACTAATAGGGTGAGTTAGAAAAGTCGATGGTGAAGGCCTTGTGTGTAGAAAATTTGAGAATTGAAAAAAGCATGTGGTCTCCCAGGTAATCAGATAAGTTCAGATTTTCCACAAATTATAGAGCCAAGTTTGGCGAGGGAATCGATTGTGAACATGCAAGCCATGCTATTGTTATATTTTATTGTCAATATGAGCTAAGCCTTTGTCTAACTACAAGGCTAGTAAGAATATGCACAAGTTATTATTATTATTTTTCTTTAAGAAAATGAGAGAGAGAGAGAGAAGAAAAGGAAATTTTTACACTTTTGGCGTTGTTGCTTTTATGCCAACATTGGATAAATTTATAGTATAGTAGAAGTAATAAAGATAATCCGTTGCACTCAATTTGGCAATTAAGGATTCAGAATCAAGTCATAAAGCAACGAACGAGGCGAAGAAATAATAATCGGCTTTAGATATGATAAGTGAGTTTTATAACACGGATACGACGTTGGAGGTGTGAATAAAATAATAAAAATTTTGATTCGGCTTGTTTTACGTGATCAAGAAGATTAACTTTTTCTGGCATGAGGGTAGAAAAAAGATTAACATCATAAATAAATAAATGGGTGGTCAAGAAACATACGATGAAAGAAGTAATAAATTTGAAGCATCAAAATCATTAGAATTTTATACATTGTTATAAGATGAAATTAACTAAAAAAAAATTTATATTTTAGTTAAACTCTGTTTTTAAGAAAAGTTCAAAATATTGTCGTAAATTACTTAAAAGCGAAATGCATTTTATCTAAATGTTAATAAGATAAAAATTTCTTTTTATTATCGGTACAATTCTTTATTTTAAAGCTCATATCAAATTTATATCTCAATATTCAAATCAGATTTATGGCTTTATTTTTATTCTTATTAGAATTATTAACGTATATATCATAAAGCAAAACACGGCAAAGAAAATTTACAATTTTTTTAAATTCTTACTCATTGTCATGTTACAAAATTGCGTAGATTACAAGTTGTTTCATTCGAAAATTATTATTTTATAATTAACTCTCAATTGTACAATAGTTTCTGCAATAGTGTAACTTACGAATTTCTAAGGCTGGTTTAAATTAACCTTAAAGGAAGGTATCCAAATTGACATGTTTTTGTATGCTTAGCTTATCTTCAAAAATTGTCAAATATTTGAATTCGATTTGCCAAATCAAATTGATATATTCTATGTAAGGTTGAAACAAATAAATGACTGATTTTTTCTCCCCAAATAAATCTTCAATATGCTGTAATACACTTTACAGATTTTTTTTAATAATAATATANAACAAATTTAAAAGAATTCCGAAATCTGATCGTGTCTCCTCCATTACTGCAGGGTAGTATATATTATATAAACTAGAAAGTAATAGTTAGCAATTTATGCTAAAAGAATCAATAACATGAGCACTAATATATATATATATATATCAAAATCAGTATAATTTGTTTTTTCCCCTTCGTTTTTTTTCTTTTTTGCTAAAATTTAAATGTTATCAAATTTTAGTTTGTTCTGAACTCAATATTTGTGATTTGTCGCGTGACGAGATATGCATAATCTCACCTGTACCCTGGCTTCGGTGAGACTCGTCTTCTGAGCAAGCTCTTCTCTCGAATATATATCCGGATATTGGGATTTTTCGAATGCTTTCTCTAATTCCTCTAGTTGAGTAGCGGTGAAAGTAGTTCGAGATCGCCTTTGCTTCCTTTTTAAAGTAAGGCCCGGTTCTGAATCACAATCTGAGCCTCCTTCTTCGCCGCTTGCTAAATAAAAAAAATAAAAGAGACTTATTAGAATGCAATTGCTTTCATTTGAAAACTAAAAAAAAGTTCTTGTTTTTGTTTGCACTCATTTAAAATGTTAGCGTCAAATGTCACTTATATAGTTCAATTTCTCATTTAAAAAAAAAAAAAAAACATTTTGTGGGGAAACGATGAGGCATTTACTTCTGTAGAATTTATTCTAACTTAAGAATAAGGAGCTTTAAATGTTGTTCAGAATTTATGTACCATAGAGACCGAGTTTGCTTATTTCTGTCAACTGCTTTTATGACGATTTATTATTTTCTGATATTCTCAAAGATTAATAGTAAATCCATTTGTTTTTGTCTTAAATTGTTTGAAAATTGATTGTGTGGTGAAGGTTATCTCGACCTTGTCAACCTTCATCTAACAAGAGGTACCTCAAGATAGAATCAAGTTAACATGTCTTATATGCTAGTGAATTGGTATTTAATACTTACAGTGGTATTTACGCCACATTACTCCCCTTCCAGAATTTTAACTGTGATAGAATTCGATGAGCGTATACCACTGGTGAATTCATGCTGTTTATTTATTTATTTGAATTTTGCTCATTATATTTTTATTTTTTTTTATTTATAGCATTTTGCTCATTATTACATTTTTTTCTCTTCAATATTGTTTACTGACTGGAAGACTTTATTTACTTCACAGGATTTTTTTTCTTCCTTTAAGCAGTATTTTTAGGCAAATCAATTGTTTAATGTGAACCATCCACCAATGTTAGCAAGTTCATATCACGTCCGGGTCACCATTTTGGGGATGTTTAAATCGACCATGTCAACCTTCATTTAGCAAAAAATACCTCAAAATAGACTTAAGTTAACATGTCTTATATAATTAGTGAATTGGTATTTAATATTTATAGTGGTAGTTACGCAGCAATTGTACCAAAGCCGGGAAACATTGCAGTTATTTTTTTGTAAACCTTACAGCTCTAATGTAATAGAAGAAGAAGAAAAAATCTGTGAAAATTTATTGCACGTTTTTATAAAGAATTTTATTTTCTATAAGACTAAGTCTAAACCTATGTAAAGCATTTACGATATGAATCCATGAACACTTATTTGTCTGATACTTAACCTATTAGCGATTTTTTTTTCTTCAATAATAACAAATCTCTTTTTGGCCATATTATTTTCTTCTAAGAATCCTCCTATAGCTCATCTTTGTGGTCCAAAAAGCATTACACAAACTCCTCATCCCAGACACCATGCTTAAATTTCAGTGACAAATCGAATCTTATGAGAAGAGGGTTCCGCGTCGTCACTTTTGTGACAAATTGTAGTAATCCGCACTCTGTCACAATAACCGAGGAACACAGATAAAGAACAAGCCAATCTTTGTGTGACAAGAATCTTCTTGGCCACGTGGACCTCACGCTTGTCTTGCAAGCAACACTTCGCTATTATAAAGGACTGTGTCTCTTTCTTTGGCAAACTGTATGCTTAGGAATTTTCATTTATGAGTGCGCCACACACATGGATGATAGATATCGATGCAATCCAAAGTGATGAGACACTTGAATGAAATGCTTATATAAACCATCTTAGAAATTTATAGATAAAACCTCATTTTGATACAGTTGGCTTGACTAGAACCAATGGTATTCTTTTAAGTGGGGCTCACTATATACCTTTTTTAAATCGACGAAAATAATTTTATTCATTTTTTAACGTAATGTTTTATACTAAACATTTTACAATAACTTCATTTGTGTTGACTAGAACGGCTTTGGCATGGGCTCTAGATGGAAAACGAAAAAGAGGCCGGCGGAAACTAACCATCAGATAAATGATAATAAAGAAAGGATACAACTTGGTATGGCTAAGTTGGGGGATTGCAAGTCACGGACCGGCAGCAATGGCACGCCAAATTTGTAGCCTCATGAGCCACCTGGCGTAAAGAGATATAAGTAATTTTTGTCGATAAAGGCAGGCACCAATTTTACTGAGGACAAAAAAATTTAATACAAAACAATAAAAAGAACTTAACGATTCATTTAATTATCGAGTAAAAAAAATTGTAACTCAATTATTTTCCATCTTCTGATATCTTTTTTATCCATAAACATATCTTTCTTCGCACGCAATGTATTAATTTTAATTATATTAACCAGGAGTGGCTTAAGATTAAAAACAGGAGTGGCACATCCGATTTTCAGTTAAATGTATTATTAAACATAAGCATTTAAAATTTAGAATTAAGTAAATTAGCTATTAACATCAACGTTTCCCTCTCCTTTTACAAGTCAATTTCGAAACATTCCAGTCATTTAGAATCATTTATCAACGAAACAGATATTACATTATATCTTTTTTAAATCGTCTGAAATAATTGAGACAAAAGCTTCGCCAAACAGTGAAAACAGATACGTTTAACTCCATTACTGCGCCAAATTTCATAACCAACCTGATATCCTATTACAATATTCATGTTTGTCAGAGGGTATAAAAAAATAAATTATTCTTGACCTACAACATAAAACATTACAATCTACTTCATACAAAAAATAAGTGAGAACACTTTCGAAATTCATTAAATTTAACCCTCAGTTAATGAGTTTCGTGCAAATCGCGCCACCCTTGGCTCGAATTTCACAAGGGGTCGCACGTCTGTAAACGGTGTTCTTTTTCTGCTGTTCAAACTAATGATGATTCCTCTGTTTTGCGGTAACCTTTATAGTCAGTCTGGCTGCCTTTTAATTCTTTTGGCCTATTTGACCCCTTTTGCATCAAAGAATAGCGAAAATGAATACTTAGCATATTCATTTAAGTCTTAAAGTTGATTGGAAAAAAGAAAAAAACCAAGCAGTAAAATAAGATTTTTTTTAAAAAAATAATTAAATTAAGTAATGTATGATCTAATTTAACAGAAATTATTTATTATTAAACATTAGTCAGACTACTTTATTTATTATTTTGTAAGTTCGTTAATAGTAAAGGCGTGAGAAATCAGAAAAATTTTGCTCATGTTCTGAATATATATAATGTCCCATATTTCCTATTAATATTGGTCTTCTTTTGGTCTATTTTACCAATTTTGGTTCAAAGAATGTAAACTTATCAAACGCATAAAGGTTCATTGAGAAAAAATCACACTATAAACAAATAATATTTAAATAAATAAATAAATATATTAATAAAATAATCAAAATAAATTGCTATTTTATACTTTTAAACATTTCATTTATATTTTATTCATATTTTTTCTTAATTTATTTTTTCGTAATTTATTTTCTTACTCTCAGTTTTTGCTAAATTTTATGAACCTTTTTAAATCAGACATCATTTAGAACTCTTATTTAATATAATGCGCACTTTTTCGCCAACAACAGACATGTCTCTCTGTAAAATTGATTAATTAATTTATATATTTTTAACCCGATTGTAAACGGTTGCAGAAAGTTACATTGCCTTTTATAATTCATGACTATTAACTATTATTTAACAATTTGATTCGCAAAAAAGTGAAACGAAGGAAAACTGAGAAAAGTATTAAAAATAAAAAAATTTTAGACGAAAATTAGTTAATAAATAAAAGATTGAATAATCTGATTAAATATTTTTTTTTATATATAAATTATAATCTAAAATATCCCTTTTTAAGCAATAAGAAAATTTCTAAAGTACCTTAAGGTTTCTGAGGCGTTTTTTTCATCTTCTTTTTTTTCTTTTTTTTTCTCTAAGGAAATGGTGAACACAACAAGAGTTTCAATAAATAATAAATCCAATTTGTATATTTGTTTTGATTTATTAACAAGCAATTAGAAATACAAGTGCTAAACTCTCATCTGTTATGTGCTTTAATTTTAAAAAAAAAATTCAATTTAAAAAAATGCTATTTAAAAAAGTAAACTTTATTTTATTTCCAAAAGGTATAATCATGATGAACTTTTATGACATGACATTTCTCCTTTTTTGTGTGTAAAACTTTCTGATGTGCAAGAAATATTCCGGACTGTTATTAATTTTAGTGCCAATGTATAGTATAACTTCTGATTCCAATAAAATTTAATTATGATTTCCATTCGTTTTTATTTTTACGGATGAAACTTACAAAAAATTTTAATATGTAATCATTGTTCCAAATATATAAATTTCAGTTGCAATTTTAACTTTTTTATTGTCACTTTTGCAATTTTAACTGTAACTTTTGGAGCTCACAACTTTCATTTGCAATTTTAATAACTTTCATTCACCATCAAAGATAGAGTAAAATCACGAGCTTCTTCTCCAATAACTGGCAGATAAGTCGTCAAATTTGTTAAACAGCAATTGGTAGCTTCATGCCAGGAGATACCGAGTCAACTGTGTCAAATGTTTCCACTAATTTGCGAAATGCGATTTTGGCATCGAATCCAAATCAGTTTCAGAAAGAGTTAAAGTAATTTCGTGTCTTTACATTTGAAAGGAATAAAAATGTTGACGCTCTTTGTGGTTCGTTCTTACAATTTTTGCAAAAACCTTAATTATAGTTTGCCCTTTTTAACATGGTTTTTCGAATTTTTTCGCCAAACACACTTTCTTCACGGTTTAAGTGCCTTAAACTATATATACTTGCGGTGAAGAATTATCCGGGCTTTAGAACTGACAAATAATTTTGGCGACATTTTTCCACCCAGATGAAAAATTATCAAAATAATTTTTTTTTAATCTCAATTTTGGCTAAATTTTTTGAGCTGTATAAATTTGTAGCTATACAGCTCAAAGAAAATATTAAATTGTGTAGCACCATGCACTAGTTGAAATTCTGAGCACGGTAGCTTAGTGGAAGGAGATCAAAATTTCGATGGGCATTAAGTTCTCTTAGACGTTGAAATAGCTAGAACAATTTAGTTTGTAACTGTTCAGAAAACGATTGATACTTATATTGTCATCCAATGCAAAATTCCAGTTAAAATTTAAACACACCTGCTTATTAAAAAGTGGTTAGAATATTCATGAAGCGATAAATTCCAG